ACCCGTGAGGACTAAGATGGAATGCCTCGAAATTCTGTGAATCCATTACCTAAATATATTTTTATTTATTTACTAGATATCTTTAGATCTGTAAAACCAGATGTATAATTGTGACGTCATTTAGATTTAATTTGATAAAAATATAGCCTAGATTTTGCTCATTGGCATTGCTCTCTATCTATTCGTGAAGTTTCATTACAAGCGGATCAGCTATTCCGAATATTAATCCGGACAGACAGACAGACAGATAGAATTTTTAAAAAAAATTGGTTATTCATATTTTCATATGTCAATATACGGTGGTTAATTGGATATTGCAGACGGACACTTAAATTTTATTTATATGTATAGGTTTATAAGGAATAGTTTTTTTGACGGCTCCTTGGCGCAGTGGCTTAGCAATGAGTTGCAGCGCTAAGGGTCGCGGGTTCGAATCCCGCACGGAAGAAGTATTTGTGTGGCCTACAAGTAATTGTTCCGGGTCTTGATGATTGTCCTTGTGAAGTTTATGTATGTAAACTGCCCCCATGATACAGGGAAAATTCTAGTGTAGAGGTAACGTTTTTTTTAATAAGAAAAAAAAGGAAAATGAAACAACGGGTGATAAACGAAATTGATAGTGTGTGGATGCTGTGACCCATAAACATTTACATCTATCCTTGATCCGTTTCCCCGGTCGAACCGAACCATTCGTGCTACAACCATAATATAGCGTGATAGAGCTATGCTACAGCATGGCTCTACCACGTAAAAATAGTACATATTAACAAGAATTGCTAGGGATAATGTAAAATAATCAATATTATTTAATAGTAATCTGTATTTTATTTGAGTTATGCATATATTTCTTAAAAGAGTCGCCTATACTCACTTACATAGCAAGCATATTGGTAAGTGAATTGCCGAGACCTTTCCACTGTTGATGTTTCTGCCAATTTATGTTCGGCATCTTTTAATGGCCTTTTCGCCGTCAGCTCGTCGATGGAGCTCCGTCCTATAGTTAACTTTGTAAACAGTATTGTAATATTGTTTAAAAAAATTCTGTAATGAAAATTGATGTTCTTAGTGCATAACGTTAATATCACATTTTATAAATAAAGTAGCTGGTCAGGTAGATTTTGTTTTGCCCTTTCCGACGACCCTTTGTCCTATAAAAGTCTTTATTTTTTTTTTTAAAACTTTACCACTACACTAGGATTTTCTCCTGTGTCGTATAAGCAGTTTACAAACACAAGGACAAACATCCAGACCCGGAACAATTATTTGTAGGCCATACAAATACTTGTCTCGTGCGGGATTCGAACCCGTGTCCCCTAGCGCAGCAACTCATTGCTAAGCCACTGCGCCACGGAGCCGTCTTTAAATTTGCAATAAAAATATTGAGGGGTCACTTATCACGATACTATACTATCTCTCAAGTTGAAGCAAGTAACATACATTTGCAAATTTCATTAAAATCGATTAAGCGAGATTAACAACGTGACACGAGATTGTTATGTATTAACAATTTCACTGTCCGATATCCAAACACAATAGTAAGACAATTCAATGACCTATGTATACCTATGCAGTGCACGTGACAGCGAAAAGGGTTAAGATAAAACTTACGCACACATCTTTACAACCCTCTCAAATACGGATACGTCATTATCAGACAGTCGTAAAACGCACGATCTATGAATTACAAATGTCTTTTACAGTATATAGGCATCGGTCTACGTTTATTTATATTTTGCGTTCTGAAACCAATAATTTACGATGTTCTGGCGAAGATAGTTCAAGTTTACGACCGCAATAACATCATTATATTCCTACACAAGGCTACTGCTGAACATATGCCTCCCCTGAACCATATTGGCGACCAGAGTGTTTTTAATTATTGACAGCTCCGTGGCGCAGTGGCTGAGCAATGAGTTGTAGCGCTGAAGGCTGCAGGTTAGAATCCTGCACAGAACAAGTATTTGTATAGCCTTCAAATAATTGGTCCGGGTCTGAATGTTGGTCCTTGTGAAATTGATGTATGTAAACTAACCCGGTGAACGGCATAGTCGGGAAGGGTCGCCCTAGGCGAAAGTTTATCGACCAAATTGGCGATATATTAAAAATGGGCCAAATCAAAAATCAAAATCAAATCAAAAAGAGTACCTTTAACCGACGAGCGTGTATGCGTAGGTATATGGATGTGGAGGAAGCGAGAGAGGTGTGACAGGATCGTGCCAAATGGAAGTACATAATCTCTGCCTACCCCTCTGGGTGACTGGCGTGAGTGTTTATGTATATGTATGTATATGTACGAGTATGTAAACTAACCCCACGATACAGGAGAAATTACTAGTATGTGGGTACCGTTTTCCAAAAAAAAATATTAAAATTTTTTTAGAAGGATCCTGCTGCTCATCTCTTGTTTTAAGTTACTTTGTCGCTTCTCACGACACTTATGGGAAGGGTTAGTGGATTCTCTTAAACTAAAACGGGTCACCGGGACCCGTTTTCACGACGGTTACTATATTATACGAAAGTGACTGAAAAGCGCTTACTATTGAAAACGTAGCATTTTATGTTTGTTAATTTACAAAATACCTTTAGCTACAAGAAATATTACAATGTAAAATAAAAAAAAATATTATTAATTTTTTACAACATAAAAGAACGACAGCATGTTTTTGAAAAGGCATTATCGGGCGGTTACTTAAAAGGCTCCTCACGCAATGTGTTTTTATGAGAGTAGGTATATATCTATCTTATAAACAGAAAAAAGAAATCTCAAGGCATTATATAGATAACGAATAACCATTACCTTTATACGAGTTTCAATATTAATTTATTTTGACAGTACAGCATTGAATAAAGCGTAGGTAAGCCTTGCTCATTTTAACGGTATACGTGCTAGATACACGATGCAGCTGTATTATGGCTTTAGGACGAAAAGTTCAGATTGGCTGAGGTAGGATGAACTAGCAGCATGATGCTGCTGTGTTTGTTGCGAATCTGGAACCGAGTGTAAGAATGAGGCATTCCATCTTAGGCCTCAAGTATGAAAATACATCTTCATTCAGAGTTTTGTTATGTTTTTTTTTAATTAAGGGAGAGTTACCAGCCTATGTACAATGGTAAGCCACCGGCTTCTGTAACTCGTGCGTGCATACGCCTGACAAAAAATAAAAGCAAATATATGTTGATTAGATAATTATCTTCAATGTAAACATGTGAAGCTGTGAATTTAGTCAGACGCGACTTAGGGAATCGCTAAAAGATCTCATAGCATATACGTGGTAGAGCCATGCTGCAGCTATCTTAGTTGTATAGTTGTAGCACGAATGGGTCGGCTCGACCGGGGAAGGACCACGCTCTCACAGAATACCAGCGTAAAATAGCTGCTTAATGCTGCTGTGTTTAGTATGGTGAGGTGTAGAGAACCGGATACACTTTTTACTGGAAACAAGGCATTCCATCTTAGTCCTCAAGGGTGACAACGCATCTGCATCTTGATTCGTAACCGAGGATATATGTAGATGTCTATGGGCCACAGCAACCACTTACCATCAGGTGGACTGTGTGCTCGTTTATCACCCTATCCTATAAAAAAAAGCTTCAAAGTACTAATAGAGAGTATGTCATTACCTGTTACTGCAGCTGCAGAGTACTCAGGTTTTTATCACCCAACGTATTAATAATTAACTTTATATCACACAAAGGTCCATAAATTGGTTAGTAACTCATGTAAACTCAAGTAAATCTAAAACAAAAAAAAATTATCATACAATTAAAAAAAAACAATATCCAAAATTACTAAATTAAAATTACTAAAATAGTAAATTTATGTAACACAGCATCATTGTATTGCTATTTCACGCTGGTGCAAGTTTGAGCGTGGTCATTCCTAGGTCAATCTGTTCGTGCTATAAACAACTACGTTAAAGTATAGTTACAGCCGATATCAGCACTACAACTGGGTGTCAGCATCTTCTCTATTTTAAGCTGATTATAGGGCAAGATAGTGAACGCGCGCCACCTCATTGCGTGTTGGCGGACTTTAGATGTCTTCGAATTTGTTAGTGACTGAAATTTATACGGCGAAACTATAAAAAAGAATGCGCAATAGTTTCAACAAAAATCAGATTTGTATAAAAAGTAAAAGTTGACTTCAAGGAACCGAGAATAATAAAATAATTTCAACAAAACAGCTTCAGAAGTCGATTATAAGACATTGTATAGAAAAATATTAAAGTTATGATTTCAGAAGCTATTATGTGGATGTTATTCTTTTAATTCTTTGAAGTCGACTTTTACTTTTTAATAAAACTAATTGGTTAACCCTTTTGAGTGTACTAAGATCTTCACAAGCTAGAATTTCGTCGTCGTTACATTAAAAAATTTATCGCCTGTTTTGCAATCCTTGGGGTTGGTTTTTTCTTCAAATCTATATGGGACTACTTTTGTAGGACAACCTATTTAATAAAAAAAAATTAAAAAGTTCAGAATACTTTCGTGGGACAACCTATTTAATAAAAAGAATAATTAAAAAAGTTCACATTTGACGAAGCTATCGTGTGACATACATACAAAAAAGAACATATAGTCGAACGAACCTCCTCCTTTTTGGAGTCAGCCATAACAGTTATTATCTAACGTAAATACAGTTAATAATTGTAGATGTTATATTATCCACATTGCAATGACAGTCGGATAAAGAATCTTTTATTAAGTCGATTAAAAAGCAAACAGAAATCGTGTTTTCATATTTTAATGTTTTCATCGATTACCGATTTTTTAATCGATTTTAGCTATATTTTTTTTGTTAATTTAAATATATTTATTTTTTGTTACAGATTTACGAAGGACCATACAATATAACTGTTTGTGACAGTTACTTTAAAATGTTAATACAGTAGTCATATAAGTACTATTTGATATAAGGATATTAGAGAGCGCATATTATTAAAAACTAAAACAAAGAAATTTATTAGAAAAGGAAACAACGAAAAGGGAAACAAGAAGAGATGGATACAAAAAACGATGTTCACGGTGATGAGATCGAACTGAGCGTGCAAGGAACCACCAAACCTAGGTAACCGATTTTGTTCTTTGTATCTTACTTATCCATATATCTATAAATAATGTTACTTACTAGCTGACCCGACAGACTTCGTTCGTAAGGGCGATGATTTTCACACCGAATACGTGTGAAACTTTCTACAATATTAAGGCTGATTTACACAGACAGTAACAGGCGCCAGTACTGGCGCCGAGGACTGACTCACACTGTTCACAAGCAGTCACTAGTCGTGTTAACTTCTTGAGGGTGTACGCACAATGTTGAAGTCAGTGGGCAAAAATGAATTTATGGAAATTGCAGAATTTACAACGATTGAAATATTTGTTGAGAAAATGTTCCTATCTACTGTTGAAAGAGTTGACGGAAATGTTAGAAGAAGAAAGAAAATCGATAGAAGACAGAAAAGAAACTGGAGGTTCTGCTTTGTTGTTGATGCGACGTCATCCTACAATGCAGCACCAGCGACTGGTCAAGTACTGACTTTTGTCGCTTAGACAAGGTCAATACCATTGGCGCGGGTAGCGGGAGGAGTGGACTGACTTCAAAATATTCAAGCAGGAATATTGAAGTCAGCACCGGCGCGAGAGTGCTGTACTGACTCCAAATCAATTAACACTATATCAGTCTCGAGTCAGCACTGACTTGCGTGGAATTTGGAGCCAGTTACTGACCCTGTGTAAATTAATAATTAATATAAAATTTGTCAATAACTCGCCCGCAGCTCCACCTAATGGTGTAGGTATAGTAACTTTCTTTATTGGCACTAAAATATGACCTGAAACGGTCAAGTCGTTCAGAAGTTACACGATCGCTGACAGGCAAACGATAGAGACAAAAAGAGTAGTCAAATTTTAAACTTAAGTCATAATATATAAATAATGATTATTGCAGTTTTTGAAAATACGAGTAAATAACGACTCTAATTCTATTTGAAACTAGCTGTACCTCCCGACTTCGCTTGCGTGTTAGGGTTTTTATGTCTTTGCGCGGAACCATAATTATTTAAAATAAAAGTAGCCTAATTTACTCCTTATGAAATCAGCTATCTGCCAGTGAAAGTCCCGTCAAAATCGGTCCAGCCGTTTCGGAGTTTAGCCGGGACAAACAGACAGACAGACAGACAGACACAATTTTGAAGAATTGTGTTTTTGTTATGAGTACCGTATATACTGTCGTATGCATTTAGTAAAAAGCTGTTATTTTTACATTACAAACAGACACCTCAATTTTATTTATTTGTATAGATGTATAGATTATTCCAAATTGATTGTGATATATGGGCAATAACGTTTGTGGCTACCGATCGATCATTACGAGTGTGTGCGTGTGCAGTAAAATTAGTTACAATAATAACCACGCATTTTGAATTTAAAAGATAAAAAGGACCGAATATTTGAGATTTTTTTTATAAATTTTTCCTCACGATCTGGCTATATTACTTATTGTGAACCTTCTTTGCAAATTTGGCCGGTTATTGCAAAATGTATACGGCTGAAGGGATTTTAATAAAATTTCGCATAAATGAATAACAAGAAAAACACATAAAATACTTTTTATAACACTAAATGCTTCGGGTTTTTAGTGCTTAGCTTAGTAGAGAGAAGAGGAGAGTGTAACCCTGCGAAGATGCATAGCATCCAAGTTATGATTTTGTAAAACTTCAACCTCAGTTTTTTGTGCTTATATTTTACTGTCTGTAACCGTAGTAGAGGAGACGCGGGGGAGGAAAATTATCCTCTGTTCTTCATCTCTTCGTGGAAACAATTTTTAAGTTATGTGTTTTGATCTCGGCACATTAAAAATCTGTGTTAGTGAAACCTTTTACAATTATAATGTAAACTTTATTAAAACTAGATTACAAATGCAGATATATCAAGTATAACGTCCCTCTACTTTCTAAAAATTTGTCCAACCTTACTTAACAAATAAAAATAAATAAATAATTTTGTTCTGTATTCAGCAAAAAGACAAAATCAGACCTGCCTGAAAGAGGATCTTGGGGCAGTAAACTGGACTTCATCCTCTCTGTCATCGGCTTGGCTATTGGACTGGGCAACGTCTGGCGGTTTCCCTATCTTTGCTACAAAAATGGCGGCGGAGCTTTCCTCATACCGTACTTCCTCACGCTATTCCTTGCTGGGATTCCAATGTTCTTCATGGAGCTGGCAATGGGACAGATGCTGACCATTGGTGGTTTAGGAGTATTCAAAATTGCGCCTATATTTAAAGGTAAGATTTTTATATTATATTTGTGAGCTAGTAAAAACGTTACAGCCTACTAAAGTCCACTACTGAACATAGGCCTCCCCCATAGATTGATATTTGCCATAGTTGCCGGGCTTGGCAAGCGGGTTGGCAGCTACATTTTTTTATTATTAGTCATTATTAGGAAGTTGTTTTTTTATAGGATAGGGTGACAAACGAGCACACAGTCCATCTGATGGTAAGTGTTTGCTGTGGCCCATAAGCATCTACATCTATCCTCGTTTGCAAATCAAAATGCAGATGCGTTGTCACCCGTGAGGACTAAGATGGAACGCCTCTTTTCCAGTAAAAAGGGTCTCCGGTTTTCAACACCCACCATATGAAATAGCAGTGTTAAGCTGCTATTTTACGCTGGTATTCTGTGAGAGCGTTATCCTTCCACGGTCGAGCCGACCCATTCGTGTTACAACTATACTATTATAGCTGCAGCATGGCTCTACCACGATTAAAACACACTGCTGCCAATCTCCTGGTTTGTTTCCCTTTGTCGCCTCTTACCTACTTTGAAGAGCACCACCCATCCACGTGGATGGGTGGTGCTCTTCAAAGTAGGTAAGACACATCATTTCATTTTAATATGAGGATCTTAGCGAACTGATTTTTAGCATTTTTTTATTTATTCTTAGAAAGAGTGTTACATTTTTTTTTCATTTTAAATTTTGCCAAACTGTAAGCCAGTTTGTCGGCAAATTTCATTTGTCGAAAATCTACATGTAAGGTCGTTTGTCACTTCAGTTTTTAAAAAGAAGTCAGTAAAGTCTTTCATTGCCTCTCGTCATATTGAAAATTGCTGTGTGATGGCAGTGTAAAAGAGATTATGGCATCATTTCTTCCATGGTTTCTTGTACACTTGATGTTTTTCAAGGTCGCCGGTATGGATATTTTATACATAAACAAATACATAAACACTCACGCCTGTCACCTAGAAGAGTAGGCAGAGACTATGGACTTCCATTGGGCACGATCCTGACACACCTCTCTCGCTTCCTCCATATCCATATACACACGCTCGCTATATACACGCTCGTCGGTTAAAAGTACTCTTAATTTGGCCCATTTTCAATATATCGCCAATTTGGTCGATAAACTTTCGCCTAGGGCGTCCCTTCCCGACTCTACCGTTCACCTCTGCAACATAAATTTGTTTTGTCACTCTTTCCTCGTTCATTTTTTCTACATGACCGAACCACTGAAGCATTCCTTTCTTAATGCTGATTACAACATCATCTTGCAAACCTTCTCTTCTCTTATCAAACAATTTCTCACCCTGTCATTCAGGGTGAGAAATTGTTTTGAAATTTAGCATTCATCTCTAACATACTCCTTTATGTCTGGATAGATATTTTATGTCTGGCGTTAAGGAGATGTTTACACTGTCAACCATTTTGAAGATCAAATCTTATTGATTTTCTATTAGTATCCCATTACAATACCCACGAAGCGATGTGAGTGAATAGATTATAATGACCTTGGTCCTTAGTTTAGTAGTAATTTCTTACGGAATGATGAATGAACAAGATTTTAATATCTTTACTACAAAATTGTACGTGGTAGAGCCATGCTGCAGCTATATTATGGTTGTAGCATGAATCGGTCGGCGTAATGCTACTGTGATTCGTATGGTGAGTGTAGAGAACCGGAAAATATTTTTACTGGAAACCCTTCCGTCTTATTCCTGAGAGGACAACGTATCTACTCTTTGATTCTTAATCGAGAATAGATGTAGATGTCTATGGGTCACGGCATACACTTACCATCAAGTGGACTGTATGCTCGTTTGTCACTGTTATTCTATAAAAAAAGAAACCTTGAGAATAAGAAAAGAGTAATGTAAAAATAACATAGTATCATTACTGAAAGATTCAAAAAATATTAGAAGGCGGGATTTAACGATAAGACGCATCGTCTCACTGACTTTATCGGCTCTAAGCGAAGAGAACCTCACAAAAACGGAACCGATAATTGAATTCTGATAATCAATAAATATTTTTTAAGGTGTTGCTCAAAAGATATCCGTAAATATTCCACCTGGTGTCACATTTTCTTGCAAGAGAAAAGTTTGATGATTTATGTTTACAAGTCAAATGTAAATACATTTAATCTTAGAGTACTAATACTTCTATGCAATTAATGTAATTCAATGTTTCGGATTTAATTATATATCTCATTACAGTGCATCACAATTAGGCCTCCCCATAGAACACAAAAGAATTTATATTTATTTTCTCATCACAAATAGGTAAAGAATTATTGATGACAAACATGATGAACTATAAATTATAAACGTATTGAACCCTAGTTTGTGAGAGACAGGTGCTTAATACAGGTATTAAACAGTATTTGTTCCAGAGGTCTGTATAGTATACTGAAGAAACCATTACTTTCATTGAATTAGTTATGAGAAAATCGATATTTAGTAAAATGAATGATTAATACAGGGCTATTTTTCAAAGAGTAGCCATAGTTTTTGAAAATACGAATAATTAAGGCTACTATTTTTATTTGAAATCATCCCAAATTGAATATGATTTATGGGCAACAACGTTTTTGCCTACCGATCGACTCTTAAAGAATGTGCACTGTATTTTTTATGTGTAACATAAAAAAAATACAGTCTAATTATGAACATCCTCCTTTTTTGAAGTCGGTTCAAAAACAATATATTATATTAACACTAGTGATGCAACGAATACGAATACGAATATTCGTATTCGCCGAATAGTAGACATTTACCGAATATTCGTATCATCACGAATATTTAAAAACTAATATTTTTGTACGCAACTCTAATTACTGGCGGACATGGATAACGCGCGTCGTCGGCGCGTAAAAAATACGTGTGATTTGGCTCTTAGCCTCAACGACAGGGCCTCCCAAAAATATTTTTCACTGAAACTATGTACAGTCGCATCGGAAAGACTTTTTTCAACGGCTGGGAACATCCAAACTGAAAAAAGAAATCGCCTAAAACCAGAAAATCTACAAATTTTATGTTTTTTAAATTAACATTTGTCTATTGTAAATTTTAATTAGAACAATAGAAAATCATCAAACAAATTCGTTTTTTATTACCATGGCGAGATATTCGTATTCGTATTCGTAAAAGTAGTATTCGTTGCATCACTAATTAACACAAAAATATTTCATAGTTTATTCAAAATAATTATAATTAGTAAATTTATAAATTATTATAAACACCAGCTTGTGTTCTATCTTTCTATCCGATAACTACTATGTGGATGTCTTCAAGGCATGAGTGAATAGGTTTTTTTAAGCTAAATTAGTGCTTTTACCATCTTCGACTACATCACTACCTACCCTCAAATCGGATAGTGCCAGTGCTTGACTGGCTTAACAGTTAAAAAATGAATAAATTAATATATTGTCTATTTTGTCTCTGAAAACTAACACAAAGGGCGATTCTGAAATCTTCAAAGGGATTCTCTCCAGTGGTATTTTGTCTTGTTTACCCAAAGGGTCGGATCCAATGGAAAGCGAGGGTTAAGTGTTTTTAGGTCCATGTTTATTCGGGCTACATTTTGCGACTATATTCAAAATAATTTCACTTTAATACGCATTTAAGATGTAAGCTTTTCAAACTTGGTATGGTAAAGTTGTCATAACTTAAATTGAAAATTTTAAAAACCCCCGAAAAGCAACCTACCGCACCTAACTAAACAGCTGATGACATTGAAACGGCTGAGCCGATTTGATGTCTAAGAACCACCGCTAGAAAATATGCTTTTAAATAAAAACCACACCCAAATCGGTTCACCTTTTTAATAGCTACGGTGCTACAGGCAGACACACATACAGACACACACACATAGCGGTCAAACTTATTACACCCCTCTTTTTGCGTCGGGAGTTAAAATATGTATGGCAATAGCCTCTTATTAACTTCCTTCTGCGTAGCATTGGAAGAAAGTTAATGGTTTTAGCTGGCAGTCTGTTAGTCTGTATGCCGACACGATAACTTCCGTTACACTGGACCGATTGACTTTAAATTGGTATGTGGATATCTTGAGGTAGTAGCTCGGTCGAGTTTGAATTTGGGTCCTGTAGGTCAAAGGGCACCAGAGATATGGGATTCACGCAGAAGGAAGTTGTTTTTCTTGAATTTACATTCAACTCGTTTGAACTATATTTTACGGATTTTATTGAGTTTATTAACTTATTTATATTCGCGAGGTTTCAAGTACTTTACAGCACCCATAATCGGTGAGGTGTTCAACGTCCCAATATCACAGTCTCTTAGTTTTCCGTTACAGGCAAAAGCCTTCTATAATTTCTGACAGGTTAATGAAACAATCAGCCGACAAACTAGCACACAATCTGACGGTAAGTGCATGTTGTGGCCCATAGACATCATCTAACATCTATTCTCGGTTAAGAATCACAATACACATGCGTTGTCACCACTGAGGACTAAATGGAATGCCTCGTTTCCAGTTAAATCGGTTTGCGGTTTTAACATTAACCATAGGAACCATAGCAGCATTAAGTTGCTATTTTACGCTGGTTTTCTGTGAAAGCGTGGTCCTTCCTCGGTTGACCCGACCCATTCGTGCTACAGCCATAAAATAATCCATACTGCGATTTACCACGTAAAAAACCTTAGTCCTCAGGGGTGACAACGTGCTTACATTTTAATTCCTGATTGAGAATAATGTTGCCACAGCATCTACTTACTGTCTGGTGGAATAATTTAGCACCCTTTTTATATTAAAATTTATTGCAGATAAGCTATGTGTGTAACAGTTTTGATTCAATAATAAATGTACTGGGAAAGGATGATGTCCGCCATTATGTGTTGGGACAGAGCGGCGGACTTTGATCTGTATTAATTTTTTTTCCGAAATGAGTGGAGAATGAGAGGAATCCAGCACTGGGACGTATAGTTAATGGAGACAGTTTTTTTACAGAATAAGGGTGATAAACGAGCACACAGTCCACCTGATGGTAAGTTACTGTGGCCCATAGACATCTACATCTATCTTCGTTTGCGAATTAAAATGCAGATGCGTTATCAGCCGTGACTACTAAGAGATAGAATGCCTCTTTTCCAGATAAAGGTGGTCCTTCCCCGGTCGAACCGACCCATTTGTGCTACAACTTTACTATTAATATTTGTGTAATTACTTTAATTACTACTAAAATTTTGTCTTAGCTTAATGATCTACGCTTAATGATATCAAAGTCCGCAGCTGAACATAGGCTTCACCTAAGATTGTCGCATTAAGTGGATATTTACCATAGCTGTTCTGGTTAGCAGGCGGGATAATGCCTATGGATCGACATGGGGTAGTGGACATTCGTACACAATAATAAAGGAAGTTATACAAAAATAAGTAATATATATTCCGTAAATACTAGGAACAGATACAAGCTAGTAGTACCAGTTACAGAACTCCACCGAGTCAGTAATTCATTCTTGGGGCGATGTACGCTTTCACAACAAAATCCCAGAAAATATACAAAATTTGACCTGCTCAAAGTTCAAAAACTTTATTAAAAAAGTTTGTATAAAAAGAGTAATTATAATATTAAGGATTTTTTTTACTTATTATAAGCCAGTGCTTGACCACAATCCCACCTGGTGGTAAGTGGTGATGCAGCCTTAGATGGTAAATCGCACTGTCTTATCGTAACAAAAGCCTATTCACTCTTGCCTTGAAGACTCCCAGATTGTATTCGGACGGAAAGATAGACGCCGGCAAATTATTCCACTCCTTTGCTGTACGCATTACAAAAGACGAAGCAAACCGTTTGGTTCTAATGCGTGGAATATCGACAACAAAGGTATGAAGACGAGCCGACCGCCTGGTTGTCCGATGGTGAAAAGGAGAGGGAGGAATTAAGGCGTGTAATTCCTGCGCACACTCACCGAAATGCTTCCTATAGAATACAGAGAGACTGGCTACTCTGCGCCTGTGCTCGAAGCTGACAAGATTGGTTTCAACCAAATCAAGGTCACCAATGAGCCTCTTAGCACGTCTCTCCACTGAGTCCAATGCTGCCAGGTGGCATTTTGTAGCACCAGCCCATGTGACAGCAGTACTTGCACTTTATATAAGGATTTATGGATGATAATAACCTTTGGGAATGAGGTGATCGCCACCAAGCTATTTGTAATTTGTTTTGTGTGGTTAATTGTGTAACATACATTATTATAAGCTGTTATTTAAAAAAAAGTTCCGTTGGGTTTCTTGCTTTATCTTCCCAGGACAGAGATTTTTTTTTTCGAACCAGTGTTAATTAAACAAAAGAGTGACGAGTAGAGTATTGTGCAGATTACAAATTATACTAATATATTGAATAAAAAAGTTCCTGTTTCTGTTACCGTACACCGCCACTACACGGTTAATTTTAGAAGCTTGGTTTTATTTTATTTGTTGGAGTAATGTTTGTAAATAATTTCTTTTTTTTAAACTGAGTATTTTCTTAGGTATCGGCTACGCTGCTGCAGTGATGTCGTGCTGGATGAATGTCTACTACATCGTCATCCTCGCTTGGGCGATCTTCTATTTCTTCATGTCTATGAAAGCAGGTAAAGGAAATTTTGTTACAGTTTAGCTTTAATCAAGTTTGTCACAAATTTGTTTGCTTTTTCATTTCATGCGTGGTAGCTCAGGGGTTAAGTGTTCGCTGTAAATTTCACAGCACGCGAGTAAACCGGGTTCGAACCCCGCATGCACTAATGAAATTGTTAATTGCTATTTTAAGTGCTGATTTACCACGTGCTCGGCGGTGAAGGACAACATATTGGGAAAACCTGCATGACTGTGACAGGAGAAAAAAAAATATTTCGAAGACATGTGAAGTTCACCAAAACGCATTTGGACAGCGTGGCGGACATTTCCTTGCCCTAAAACCCTCTCAAAAATGAGAGGTCTCTGCCCAGCAGTGGGACGTATACAGACTGTAGCTTTACTTTACTTTCATACTCCATTAGATGCACACTTTTTGTAAAAGGAGACTCAAGTTAAAATCAGTTTTTTAACGGATTTTATAGTATTCAAGCAACATAATATTTTATAGTCCCGATGTTTCAACTACGTTGCAGCGCCTGTTGTTAAGAGGGGACTGAAGTGTTTGACTTCGTATAGGGTCGTCGGACACTACAGTTTCCCCTTTACCATGGGTACTGTAAAGTACTCGAAATATCGGAAGAATAAAATATATTGGTTAAACGCGATAAAATCCGTTAAAACTTGTTTGCTTGCATCAAAAATTATTGTTGTTCCATTGAATCTTTTTTTACGAGATTTTTTTCTTATAGGATAATATTGAGAAATAAGTACACAGTCCACCTGATGGTGAGTGGTTGCTGTGGTTGTGTGTTGCTTTACGTGATGATAATGAAATAGCAGCATTATATTGCTATGTTGTCTTGTATGCCAGGATTCGGGAAACGAAAGGCCTTTTTACTGGCAGCGAGGTATTCCATCTTAGTCCTATATAAGTGACAATGCATCTGCATTTTTTTGTAAATCAATTTTTTTCTGCCATTTCTGTAAAAAAGAGTAGTGGAACTAAACTCTTTAAAAATTGAATGGGAATACTAGTCTATGACGTCATATTTACCTGTAGTCAATTATAGTATTGTCTTGTTTGTACATAATAATTTAAAATTAAACATTTTGTACAACTGATTTAAATATAAATTATTAAGAATGACTCAAAAATTATTAGACAGACCTTGATCAAATGTATTTGGGATCACATGAGAAGCACCAGCTTTCAAATAAAAAAAAGCATCATTGAAATCGGTTCACCCAAAAAAAAGATACATAGAGATAGAAAACAAAGAGTCGAATTGAGTACCGTCTCCCTTTTGAAGTCGGTAGAAAATGTTACTTATCTTTATTTATTCATCACACTCTGTCCAAGTGCACTACCTTTCTATATCCTATATTCAGGAACTGAACTGAGCATATTTGTTACCCCTGGCGTTGTGTTTGGTTATTTAGCTTATTATCTTAAAATTAAAATAACTTACAGGGAGACATTTAAGACACTTTTTTATAGAAGAAGACTGACAAACGAACACACAGTCCACCTGATGGTAAGTGGATACTGTGGTCCATAGATATTTACATGAATCCTCGATAAATAATCAAAATGCAGATGCGTTGTCACTCCAGAGAACTAAGATGAAATGCTTCGTTTTCAATAATAAGGGATCTATGGTTCTCTACACTCACCATACGAGACACAGCAGCATGAATCTGCTATTTGACGCTGGTATTATATGCGGGCGTTGTTCTTATTAACAACTATAATATAGCTGCAGCTCTACATGTACAAAAAAGTTGCAAATTCAAATAATATAATCAAGAAATTTATTAATGATGGTGTTTAATTCCCAATGAATATATTGCAGACGTGCCATGGCGGACATGCGACAACTACTGGAACACGCCCACTTGCGTCAATCCCTACGACCGCAAGAACCTCACCTGCTGGTCTACATTCGACATGACGACACTTTGCACTCTCAACGGGAAGAACATCAGCAAGGCTGTGCTATCTGATCCAGTTAAAGAATTCTGGGAGTAAGTAATTTTTTGTGTGTGATATTTGATCTGATATTATACTCGTAACTTTTTTTTAATATTTGCGTGGCAAATGACCTAACAGTCCACTAGATTTATGCTAATAAAAAATAAAAAATCCTTTATTTTCAAAAGTCTTATAACAAAGATTGAGTGTGTGTGTGTGTGTGTGTGTGTGTGTGAGAGTGTGTGTGTGAGAGTGTGTGTGTGAGTGTGAACTAAGTTAATGCAGTCTATGGACATCTGCATCTAATTTTAAACAAAACAACACATGTTTTGTCAACACTGAGAACTAAGATGAATTGTCTCACAACCAGTAATTATACTAATTCTCTAAATTGATTCTCTTATTGCTTGTTGGCATAAATATATAAGAGATTGGTTCCTAGACGGATTTGTAGGAACATAAGGAACCTTACTATTTCAACAATAATACCTGAGCATTTAAGATTAAAGCATGCCCTTCATATAAAAGAACAAACTCTTGGCTGCGAGTGCACCATTTTAGGGGGCTGTATTAGGGAGAATTATGTATATAATACGTAAACATTATATATATAATACCCCTTAACTGTGTATTAATTTTCATATATTTTGGAGTCGAACATTGTTCTGTTCTTAGACCAACGAAAACGATGAAGCGCTGTGTACATAACAAGTTACGCCGAATCCGAAACTAAGTGTTTTCCGTACTAAGTTTTTTACGTGGTAGAGTCATGCTGCAGCTAGTCATGCTGGCAGGACCACGCTCTCACAGAATTTCAGCGTAAAATAGCAGCTTGACGTTGCTGTGTTTCGTATGGTAAGTGTAGAAAACCGGAGATCCTTTTTACTGGAAACGAGGCATTCCAGGACTAAGAAGTCCTTACGGGTGACAACGCATCTGCATTTTGATTCGCCATCGAGGATAGACGTAGATGTCTATGGGTCACAGTAACCGCTTACCATCAGGTGGACTGTGTGTTCGGTTGTCACACTTATCCTATAAAAAAGACAAAACCATGCTAAACTTATTGTAAAAGCATTTACAATCAACAACATAGTTTCATCAATTCCATCAGCTCTGAACTGGACTTAATGGGCTTAAAAATAGAGATATGTGAGTGATTGTGTGTCAAGAAGTTGAGCATGTTTTTGGCGTCACTTGAAATGTTTGGCGCTCCGTCTGTCCTAATTTATTGCTCCATGATCTTAGTGTGTTTCTCTATCAAATAATATAAAAACTTCTATTTATCATTCATTTTAGGTTATGCTAAATTAATTTTATTTAAGACTAGCGATCCGCCCCGACTTCGCACGGGTGATTTCTGGATCTCAACGACAGCGATAGGGTCCAACTGTGAATCGTTTAGATCATCCAGGGACCCACTCATACTCACAATTTTTTGCGAGACTAACGGACACCAATTGATTTTTCGAATCATCAAAGTCGGTCCAGCCATTTTCGAGTTTTTGACAGCAATTGATTAAAATATATATAGATACGACGTACAACAGATAAACAAATCAAAAGTTTACTTCAAATCTACTAGGTAGTTCACAATTTTGTTTGTGCCTCCCTTTAGACGGATCATTAATAACTTCACGCGACAGAAAATCGATGCATCTTAACAGGATTTTACCACACGAACATGCGTCTTTGTTTTCGCTTAATTATAACGTAATAAATCTTTATAAAGACCCGCCGCAGAAGAACACAAAAACTCTCCGATCACACTCTTAATCTCATGGCTGTTAGACGGGAGATGAAGCTACATTCTTCAACAGACTTGACAGCATACAGGCATCTGAACAGACAGATCTCCAAATGCATGCGGCGGGACTTACGCAACTTCAATACAGCTCGTATTGAAGAAGCGATCGAGCGGAACCAAGGCTCCAAAGTCTTTGCCAGAGATCTGTCTGCCAGAAAGAGCCAACTGTCAAAGCTGAAGACAGAATGTGGCAGCATCGTTTCCGGGACACCTGAGATTTTGAGTGAGATTGAGAGGTTCTATGGGCAGCTGTACACGTCATCGTTGGAGCCACACGCAACTGTGAGTAACGATCCAAGAGCGAGTCTCATCCGACACTATTCCGAAGATATCCCGGACGTCAGTCTGAGCGAGATTAGAATGGCTCTCCAGCACCTTAAAAACGGTAAGGCCCCAGGCGAGGATGGAATTACAGCGGAGCTTCTGAAAGCGGGTGGAAGACCGGTACTTGAAGTCCTTCAGAAGCTCTTTAATTCCGTCCTCCATGGTGGCATTACACCGGAGGCGTGGAGCAGAAGTGCGGTGGTCTTGTTCTTCAAGAAAGGTGACAACGCTCTCTTGAAGAACTACAGACCGATTTCCCTTCTGAGCCGCGTCTACGTGCTGTTTTCGAGAGTCATTACGAATCGTCTCGCGCGCAGACTTGACGACTTCCAGCCTCCCGAACAAGCCGGCTTCCGAAAGGGCTTTAGCACCATAGACCACATACATACCCTTCGGCAAGTTGTACAGAAGTCCGAAGAGTACAATTTGCCACTATGTCTGGCGTATGTGGACTATGAGAAAGCCTTTGATTCCGTCGAAATTTGGGCGGTGCTGCAGTCCCTTCAGCGGTGCCAAGTTGACTGTCGGTATATCGAAGTGTTGAAGTGCTTGTACAGTAGGGCTACGATGGCTATCCGAGTACAGAACCAGAGTACGAAACCTATCCAATTGCAGAGAGGTGTAAGACAGGGTGACGTCATATCCCCGAAACTCTTCACCGCTGCATTGGAAGACGTTTTCAAGCTTCTGGACTAGAAAGGGTACGGTATTAACATCAATGGCGAGTACATCACACACCTTCGATTTGCCGACGATATAGTCCTTATGGCAGAATCGCTGGAGGACCTAAGCACTATGCTCAATGACCTCAATAGTGTTTCCCAACGGATAGGTCTTAAGATGAACATGGACAAAACAAAGATTATGTTTAATGTCCATGTCACACCTATGCCGGTAGTTGTTGGGAGCACTAAGCTCGAAGTTGTTGACGAGTATGTTTACCTGGGACAAATAGTCCGACTAGGTAAGTCCAACTTCGACCGAGAGGTCAATCGACGGATTCAACTCGGCTGGGCAGCGTTCGGGAAGCTACGACACATCTTCTCGTCAGACATACCTCAAAACCTTAAAACGAAATTGTACAACCAGTGCGTGTTGCCAGTGATGACTTACGGAACTGAGACGTGGTCCTTCACTGCTGGCCGTATGAGGAAGCTCAAGGTCGCTCAGCGAGCTATGGAGAGGGCTATGCTCGGAGTTTCTCTGCGTGATAAACTTAGGAATGAGGATATCCGCAGTAGAACCAGAATAACCGACATAGCCCAACGAATTAGTAAGCTGAAGTGGCAGTGGGCCGGCCATATAGCTCGAAGAACCGACAACCGATGGGGAAGAAAGGTTCTCGAGTGGCAGCCTCGTACCGGTAGGCGAAGTGTAGGGCGTCCCCCCACGAGATGGAGTGACGACCTGGTAAGACATGCAGGAAGTCGATGGATGCAGGTGGCTCAGGACCGTGCTTTGTGGCATTCTTTGGGGGAGGCCTATGTTCAGCAGTGGACTTGTGAAGGGCTGTAATGATGATGATGATGAAATCTTTATAAAATACGTTACTGTGATTTAGTTTAAATTTTTGACAGCCCGAAATTTATGATCCTATATTTTTTTTAAATCTGAAATTGATGCATATTAATAAGTTCTACCTCACGAACATGCACCTTTGTTTTCGCTTAGTAATAACGTAATAAATCTTTACAAAATACGGTACTGTGATTTAGTTAAAAATTTTGACAACCCTAAATTTAAGATTTTATATTTTTTTCAAAATTTTGATTTAAGAAAATAAATCGAATCTCTGTGCTCATTAAGAATTCAACAATATCTACAATAACCATATAGTGGCGGTGTAAAAATATTAACTAAACTATATCGTTCCGTGGGTGTCGTAAGAGGCGGCAGGTGTAACTGGAACAGGAGGAACAGGAGGTGTAACTGGAACAGTAGAATCCCCTCTTATGAAGCAATATTTAAAAGAGGCGTATGTAAATAAAAGTTCCGTTGGGTATCATGCTTGTTCTTCCTAAGACTGAGGTTTTTTCCGAACCAGTGGTAAAGCTTAAGTGACTTTCAATATAAATCAATTGTTGTCTATTAGTCTCGCTAAACTCAAAAACGGCTAAGCCGATTTTGATGAAATTTTTTGTGTGTGTTCATAAGTCCCTAGATGGTTTAGAAATTACACGTGCAAAGCCGGGGCGGATTGCTAGTTTTGAATAAAAAATATTCTATTCTCTTCTATGCAGCTGTGGATTTTTATAGGCTGTAATGAATTGATCTATATTGTATTAAATTAAATCCATAATATAGCGGTGTCGAGTGTCCACCCGCGCTTCCCGCTGCCCACGCAAACCGTCTGTACCTCTGCTCCAACACATGCGCTGACATTATAAAGAATAAATGTAAATATTTAAAAAAAAAAACGATATAAAAATGTTCCAGGGTGGAAGGTGCAAACGTTTTGGTTCTTTTAGATAGCATGCAAGGACCACGTTCTCACACAACACCGGCGTGAAATAGTACGAGTAGCTTAGCTGCTGTGTTTCGTATGTAGAGTGAACAAAACGAGGCATTCCATCTTAGTTTACAGGGATGACAACACATCTGTATTTATTTTCTTGATTGAGGATAGATGTAGCTCTCTACGGGCCACAGAATCCACTTACCATTAGGTGGACTGTGTGCTCGTTTGTCATCCTTATTCTAAAAAAAAATGTATGAGTAATAAAAACTCGGTAGAGCAGTGGCTAATTCCGCGTTGTGGGTCACGGGTTTGATCACCTGCTCCCATATAAAGCCTGAAAAGACTACCACCGTCGGGTCTGCGGTAGTGTGTGAAAGCGTTCCCGATCCCGCAGCCACGGCAAAAAGCGAAGCGATGAACTCTGTGGGGTTTTAGCCGGTAGGAATCCGGCCTCCTGTCTATCTCTGAGGATTTCCCCCGCGTACCAAAAAAAAAATGATTGCTGTAAATATCTAGGCTACAGTATTCACGTAGAGGTAGACTGTTTGCTTGTTAGACACATAAAAAAATCATACACAATTTTATATCTAAACTAGACTTACAACGAATCGTATATTCGATAACACGCCGAATATAGAATATTCTGCGGACTTTCTGGCCGAATAGCCGGATATTAGGCAAAAGTATTCGGCCGAGAAGGAAGTAGTGTTTGAATCTGGTATTGTCTATGAGAAGTAAAGGAGTAAACTATTCCCTGAAAATGAAGAGAAATTAGACTTTCTGCACCATTATCTTCCACTTTAGTTACGATAATTCGAGTGCATAGACATTTATCTGATACTTCTTTTTTAATTTAGACTACTTTAATAACAAGAAAAAAGTGTGTAAGTACTTATGTGGTACGCACGTAGGAAGTTATACTTCTTTAGCGTAACAAAACAAAAAAATTGGAGACAATTACCCACAGAAGTTGTCACTTTTAAGTGTCAGTGTGCGCGCGCGTCGTAACAACTTCATGGTGTCGTTTTTGGATTTCGGTGTGCGCGCGTATCGTAAAAAATCACTCTCATAATTTTTCCCAAATGCCCCAAAATAATTCAAAATTGTAAAATAAATAAATATTTTTATTTTTCCAATAATTTGACTACAATAAAACCTCTTACTTAAGTATTCGATATTCGACCGAATAGGATAAAAGTAGCCGAATAGGCCGAATACCGAATAATAGTCGAATATTCGTTGCAAGTCTAATCTAAACCCATATTTTATTAGCTAAATGTGTTCCGAGTAGCTCGCTGCGTTTTGGACTCTGTTTATTCTTCGGTGATTAACAGGCATGACGCTGTATCTAAGTAATGTAACGGTGCGTACACATTATATAACATAACAGGCTGAATGTTATAAAATGTGTTGTATAACGTGCACAAATGTTATATAACTCGAACGGCAGAACGACAATCGACAATGTCATACGACAATGTCATATAACATTGTTATATTGCATTGTTATTCTAATGTGTACAGTATTGTTATATGTTGCAATGTTCCATAATGTGGACGTGTTATAAAACAAAAGTTACACAACATGTTACTTAATCTGTACGCACCCTTACAAGGCGCATTTCATAATTTCTTTTGTTTACAGACGTCGAGCTCTTCAAATCTCAAGTGGTATAGAAAACATAGGCAACATACGCTGGGAACTCGCTGGGACCTTACTCCTCGTTTGGGTCCTCTGTTACTTCTGCATCTGGAAGGGCGTGCGTTGGACCGGCAAAGTTGTGTACTTCACCGCCCTATTTCCCTACTTTTTACTGACTGTTCTTTTGATAAGAGGTAAGCGATTTCTTTTAAATATAATACAGGCTGTGAGGGATTCCATTTTAGTCAGAGGTGACAACGCATCTGTAGCCATCTTTGTTTTAAGTCGGCTGCTGGTGTCTATGGACTGCAATAGTCACTTACCATCAGCTGGACTGTAAGATTCATTTTTTTTTATAGAAGATGGGGCAAACGAGCATGCGGCTCACCTGATGGTAAGTGATTACCGCCGCCCATGAACAACTGTAACACCAGGGGAACTGCAGAGACGTTGATGGCCTTTTAAAAAGGAGTAGGCTCTTTTCCTGAAGGTCCCTAAGTCGTATCGGTCCGGAAAAATCGCTGGTGGCTGATTCCACAAGGAAGTTATGCAAGGAAGAATACATCTTCTAAATCGCACAGTGGTGTACCGCCAATCATTTAGATAGTGCGGATGGTATCGGGAGTTCTGCCGCGATGTGTGTTCGTGAAATTTGGCGGCTTACTTCACTACCTACTTCAGTTTTATAAAAAAAAAATTGACAACCAGGTATGAGATGCAGGAAGTCGATGGGTGTAGGTTATTCAGGACCGAGCTTTGTGGTGTTTCTTGGAAACATCTATGTTTAGCAATGGACTAGTGATGGGCTGCAATTATGATCACTTTAGAACGAAGCAACGCTAAAAGGCGGTATAGAAAAAACGCGCTTTAGGAAGCGCTGCATAGAGTGCATTATTCTACAGCATTGCATAGCGAGCAAGAGCCGTGATAGCTCAGATGGTTAACGCTCGGTGTAAATTTCACAGTACGCTAACATCTCGGGTTCAATTCCTGTCGGCACCAATGAAATTGTTAATTGCAATTTTAAGTGTTGATTTACAACGTGCTCGGGAGTGAAGGAAAACATCGTGAGGAAACCTGCATGTATGAGAAATAAGAAAAAAATATTTTCGAAGACATGTGAAGTTTGCCAACACTTCCTTACCCTAAAACCCTCTCATAAATGAGAGGGGGACTGTGCCTAGCAGTGGGACGTATATAGGCTGTGACTTTAATTTTAATGCATCGCGGAACTTTTGTATTTTATCTTTCATAATTTCTTATAGAGTTGGAAGCAAGACTTGTTAAAATAATCGTGTTAATTATTAAAGTAAAAATAAAAATAAGAGAGAAAGAGACAAAGAGAGGAGAGAAAGAGAGGGATGTAGAAAGGGCATGACTAGAAGCGCATTCTTGAAATTCTAGCCAGCAGTAGATTGTAAAAAAGCTGTCAATGGTGACGTTTATGGTATACCGAATCATACACCTATTGTTTTTCAGGTATAACGTTACCCGGTGCAATGGAAGGCATCAAGTTCTACATCATGCCAAACATGTCGAAACTGCTTGAATCCGAGGTCTGGATAGATGCTGTCACACAGATCTTCTTTTCCTACGGTCTTGGCTTGGGGACCTTAGTCGCTCTGGGCAGCTACAATAAGTTCACCAACAACGTTTATAAGTACGTTAATGTTTGGTTATCCTTTTTAATTCAGATAGGAAATATTTGATTTGGAATTGTCCCGTGTTGTGCAGATGTGATCCAAACCACAAACTGGCCAAAATTATGATCCAGAGGCTCTTTTTCAGTTTATTTCCAAACATGAAACACTTCTAAAAATAACAAGTAATCCCAAAATCTACTTTAAATTTTCTTTAAAATGATATACATAACATGATATAATAGCGTTTCTCCTACAAGAAAAATTAATTTCTTTAAAATTTGAATAATTTTATTTTTTGTGGGCTGCAACATTTTTGCACAACACGGCCCAACTATTGATGTACAATTAATTTTTATCGAATGTTTGTACATATAATATTTCCTCCCTACAGCGGGGGAAACCCATAACTAGTTTTTTATATCCAGTAAAAAGGGTCTCCGATTCTCTACACTCACCATACGAAACACAGCAGTTTTAAGCTGCTATTTTACGCTGGTATTCTGTGAGAGCGTGGTCCTTCCCCGGTCGAGCCGACCCATTCGTGCTACAACTATACTACTAATATAGCTGCAGCATGGCTCTACCACGTATAAAAATTTGCTTATTCATTTGTTTATTTAAGGATAACCTGAGGTAATTACAATTGTACATGTTCACAAATATTATATATAAACTTAGTTTTAAATGTCAAACCTATTTGTGGCAGCCACAATAAGCTTCATATTCTTACGAATATATGAGTAAAGTTACTGAAAATATTTGAAAAGGTGGCATTTATAGGACACATTACAAAATATCAGAAACATTACCTAAAAATAAAATAAAATCTAAGAAATACCAAACAAGACGGGAAAAATGACAGTAACAAAAAAAAACATTATCATGACAGTATACTATCCAACTTGTAATTTCTTAAATTATTTTTTATAAATTAATTATTATTAACACAATTTTTTTAAAGAGGACAAGGAAACACTAAAAACGTTAAAACTTAAAACTTCTGTCGACGTTTTTAGTGATTCCTTTGATTGACATTGACCGACATTAAATTTGGCAAGCGCGACATGCTATTGCATATTGTTGTGACCTAGATCTGATTTGATTTTTTAGGGTTTCGAAATAACCAACGGCACCCTATTACTAAGCCTCTGCTATCCGTACTTCCGTCCGTCCGTCTGTCTGTCAGCGGGCTGTATCTCAAGATCCGTAATAGGTAGACAGTTGCAATTTTCACAGAACGTGTATTTCCGTTGCCGCTATAACAACAAATAATAAAAATAAAAATAAATAAAAATTAAAAGGGGCAATACTAGAAACGTGTTCTTTTTGCATACATAGTATTAAATCTTGTAAGATGGTACGGAACTCTTCATGCGCGAGTCCGACTCGTACTTGACCGGTTTTCGTGTTTACGGGCTAATGAAGGAAATTATTAAAAAATACAGGAAATGCAGATTAATTTCAAGTGCGCGTCATATTGTTTTTTGCGAAAGTCGCATTTATGTTACTAAGAACTTCTCTAACTCAGGAGATGTACAAAATTCTAGCATTTGCCTTTCATTTCACAGTATGCAAGCAACCCGCATGCATACTGTGTTTACGTGGTAGAGCCACGCTGCAGCTATTATATTATGGTTGTAGCACGAATGGGTCAGCTCGACTGGGTAAGGACCACGCTCTCACAGAATACCAGCGTTAATATTGCTATATTAATAAAAAATAATGCTTAATGCGGCTGTGTTTCGTATGGTGAGTGTGTGCACCGGAGACCCTTTTTACTGGATACAACTCATTACATATTAGTCCTCAGGGGTTGACAACACATCTGCATTTTGGTTCTTATTCGAGGATATATCTACATGTATATGGGCTTAAGTATCCACTTACCATCAGGTGGGCTGTGTGCTCGTTTGTCTATAGAAAAAAAACCGGGTTCGATTCCCGCCAGTTCCAATGAAATCCTTAATTGCCCTTCTGCCACCTGCGTAACTGAAGTTTCGTAACCAGTTACGTAGGGGGATATTTTTTCCTTGTACGTTTTATTTTCTACTTGTACGTGATCATTTCAATGGAGGAATTGAATAATGCTGGCTATTTTATGAATAACATATCTGTAACTGCAACTTGGATATCAATTTTATCAGTTTTACATTGTAGTCAAGTTGCAGCTATATTTATTACTATAGTGGGTCGGATCGAATGGGAAGGACCACGCTCTCATAGAATACCAGCGTAAAATTGCAGCTTAATGCTGCTGCGTTTTGTATGGTGAGTGTAGAGAACCGGAACCTTTTTAATGTAAAAGAGGTATTCCATCTTAGTCCACAAGGCTGACAACACATCTGCATTTTGATTCGCAAACGAGGATGGATGTAGATGTATATGGACCTCAGCAACCACTTACCATCAGGTGGACTGTGTGCTTGTTTGTCACCCTATTTCTATAAAAAAATACGAGTTATTTTCCTTTTTAAGAAACAGGTAACACTAAATACCACAAATTAAAACAAAAATAAACTGTATTATTATAACAAAATATTCTTTATATTGAAATTTAAAAAAAATGCTAAATGGCAACAGAGCACACGGTGAATTTATTGCACTATCAATTCGCCTATGAAGTTAAAGATAGTGTTTTGTTTTTTCATGTTGGATTTTAATTTTTAACATATTATTAATTGTCATCGCTTTGAATAATATTTCTATTAAATAAGCAACAGTATCTATTATTTATTCTATCCGATGAACTGGTTAAATCGACCACGCCAGCCTTCTTAATTGTTTATTGTTCTTATCTCTTCTTCGCTACAACAAGAAGTTTTCTCAAAGTTAATTAATTGATTGAATTGGCTTGAGTTTCAAAGTACTCGTTGAATTTTTGACCGGGTGGGCTCTTACGTATGCGTAATGTGAGCCACTGTGTAATTTTAGTGTGAAAAAATTATGTTTGACCCGTGGACAGAAAAAATATTTTATTTTATGTTCTCAGAAATGTATTGGGTAGCATACAATTGGAATTACCGTGTAGTGGCGGTGTAAGAATATCCACTACCTAATATCATCCCGTGGGTGTCGTAAGGAGATAAACGAGCAGATGGGCAGCAGCGTCTTACTGATAACATCTAAAAAAAAAACATGCGTGAGTGTCGTGGAACACTCGGTTGGAACGAAGTTCCCTTCGTAATATATTATTATTGATAAACGTATTATATTAATAATTAATAAATACAAATAAATGAATTACTAGCAAATATTAAGAAGCGCATTTAAAATATTTCTTTCATGGCAAGATAAGATAAAGTGCGAGGGAGACGGATAATATTCCATCTCGCTCGCACTGTAGAAAGGGGGTAGTGACGGAAAAATCTTACACTTTTTCTCGCCTAGCCTCCATCCGTCAAATTCGTACCGTGCGATAAAGAACTTCGTTCCAAAAACATTTGATTGCCGACCCATCTCCCAATCGTGGCAACTATGGCAAACATCCCCATTATGAGACATTTTATGGGGTGGTCTATGGTCTATACTGGTATTATAATAATACTTTTACTGTGTTAGTTATATCCGTGTATTATATTTAACTAATTCTATTTTTTTCAATCCAAATGTCTTTTTTTTAAATAAAATAAGCATGACAAATGAGCACACAATCCACCTGATAGTAAATAGACGCTGTAACCCGTAGCCATTTAAATCTCTCCTCGATTAATAATCAAAATGCATCTGGATTTGTTGTTACCAAGGAGGACTAAGATAAAATGCCACGTTTCCAGTAAAAGGAACATTCACAATATGAAACAGAACAGAATTATATATCTATTTTACTTTTGTATAGTGTGAGCGTGGTCCTTCTACGGTGGAGCCGACCCTTTTGTACTACAACCAAAAAATACAATAGAAGAATACATGACAAATTGATTTTAATTGTGTTTTTTAAACAAATTTTCCATTTCAGAGACGCTTTGATAGTCTGCACGGTAAATTCCAGCACATCGATGTTCGCCGGTTTCGTAATATTTTCGGTGGTAGGGTTCATGGCACACGAGCAACAGCGACCCGTTGACGAAGTAGCAGCATCAGGTAATACTTTAAGAAGCTATAAGAATGAAATAAGCAACGAAACGTAATAGACACACTAGTGCACGTGCACTGCGTGGCTAAGTATCTATTACGTAAGTATCTATTACGGTTAATACTGTTAACAGTGCACGTGATAATCCTGTTAATTTAAAAACACCAACGAGGCTCTAACGACTGGAAAACGGTGGTACCATTCGAATTTTTGCCGTATATTATATCCTCATATGTCATGGGTTTCGTAAGAGGCGACAGATGAAAACTGATACAGAAAATGGGCAGCACTATTTTTCTGATAACAATTTAATTGAAATAATAAAAAAAACTGCTATTATCAGCACGTCTGTTAAGTGTGGCTACTTTGGCAAATGTAAATATCACCTATGCCAAAAAACTGTATTTGTTAGTTAATAATAGATTAAGTAACTAGTAAGTATAATAATAAGTCTATTTGTTAGTAATTATTATATTTAAGATTTTTTTGTAACTACCAGGGCGGCATAACTGCATCAGCGACAAAGCCCTTTATCTATGAAAAAAAAAATATCCCCAATGAAGTAATCTATGGGGTAGACTTATTATCTCAGAAGTGGACTTTTAATGGCCTGTAATGGATGAACGATGTGGGGTAGGGGATATTCTTACACCGCCACTTCGCGGTACTGAAGGAGCATATCATGAGGAAACAGACATGTCTGAGAAATTAAAAGAAATAATTATAAGACACGTGGAATTCACCAACACGCTTTTAGGCAAGGGAGTAGACAATGTCTTACTCTAAAACCCCCTTAAAAATTAAAAGAGGCAGGAGTGAGACGTATATAGGCTTCACAACGACGGCTTCGTGGCGCAGTGGCTTAGCAATGCGTTGTTGCGCTGGGGGCCGCGGATTCGAATCTCGCACGGAATAAGTATTTGTATGGCCTACAAGTAATTGTTCCGGGTCTGCATGTTTGTCTCGTGCAATCTATGTTTGTAAACTGCCTCCACTATACAGGAGAAAATCCTAGTGTGGGGGTAACGTTTAAAAAAAAACAACAGTTTTTTATATTTTCCTTTATGGGTCTGGAAGATATTTCAGTAAATTATGGAATAATTAAAATCTTTGTACGAACTCACTGTATGATTGTTTCTGTATTTTGCGTGGAAATACATAAATAAATTAAAAAAAAGTTTCAATATAACCAAGTACAGAAATCCATGGAAAATTCCATGAAGGACTGTGGCCGTACGGTTAATGGTAACTATTAATGGGTTGCTATTGATATAAGATTGTATTACGAAAATTATTATAATTTTTTTTTGTTTCCAGGGCCTGGGTTAGCTTTCTTGGCTTACCCATCTGCAGTGCTTCAACTTCCAGGCGCACCGTTATGGTCATGCCTCTTTTTCTTCATGTTACTCCTGATCGGTTTAGACAGTCAGTTCTGTACGATGGAGGGCTTTATCACCGCTGTTATTGATGAGTGGCCTAAACTTCTGAGAAGAAGGAAGGAAATCTTCATCGCTATCACCTGTGTGATTTCATATTTGGTTGGACTGTCTTGTATATCTGAGGTAACGCAGTTTTCCTTCTATTTAAAGTTATGTCGATTAAAATTATGTTGTTTGATAAATAAAATGTCAGTAATTTACTAGAAACTGTCTTAAAAGGTAATTTTTTTTTACTAAGTAATAATTGTTTAATAATTGTTATTAATCAATTGAATGATTATTCAACGTGACTTGGTATTTTTTCCAGGGTGGCATGTACGTTTTCCAAATTCTCGACTCGTACGCCGTGTCCGGTTTCTGTCTTTTGTTCCTGATCTTCTTCGAGTGCGTCTCCATCTCTTGGGCGTTCGGTGTAAACCGTTTCTACGACGGCATTAAGGAAATGATCGGTTACTACCCCACCATCTGGTGGAAATTCTGTTGGGTTGGCTTCACTCCTGCCATTTGTATTGTAAGTATATTTGTTACAAACGTTAACAAATTTTAAGTCTTTATATTAAAAGTATTTACACAGGTATAAATTTTTTGAAGGTTATTATAATAATATATAATTAAATACATTAATATACGAATAAATAGAATACACGACAGAGTCGAGAAGGGTAAACCCTAGACGAAGGTTTAGAAACCAAATTGGCGATATATTGAAAATGGGCCAGATTAGGAGTACCCTTAATCGACTAGCATGTATGCGTAGATATATGGATGTAAATGGATCATGCCAAATTGAATTCGGTAGCTCAACCGACCCCTCTGGGTAACAGGCGTGAGTGTTTATGTATATGTATGTGAAAATAATTCATGATCAATAATAATAAACCTTGGGAATGAAGTGATGGCTATCATGCTGTTTTCATTATTCTTTGTTCAATATAATATATTGTTATAAATATGAAAAAAACTCCCGCGAGTTTCTTGCTGGTTCTTCCCAGGACAGAGGTTTTTTCCGAACCAGTGGTAAAGGCATAAATGATTTTAGATAAGTATTTTTGTAATAATCATAATATTGAATAAAATGTTTTCTATTCTATTCTATTTAGGCGTCCAGTAGATATTCATTTAAATAATTGCTGTCCTCAATGGCTATTAACAATCTATTAAATAATTTAGTTTGGAGGACTGTTGGCACGCAGGACGAACACTAACCGTGCAAATCATAAACGTGATCGGTTTTTCTATTCCCAATATATATATATGTATGTACATACATATTTAATAAAATAAATAAATTGAATGTATGTTCATGACATAATGTTGCGTTAAAAGATTGGAAGCAATCGTGTTCACATATAATCATTGCGCAAAATCGTGATCATGTGTTTGCATAAACATTATCACTTGATCTCCGATTTACACACAGTGTACGACAGATAAGTTTTCCATCAACAGGTACTTCATTCTAATAGATTTGATGACGGCGATTAGTGTGCTGTGTTCGGTAAATTTAATCTTGATTTCGTGGATATTTTTGTCTACAGTTAGTCAAAGTTTATTAGTTATTTAGTTTTTAATCAATATTAATTACAATCAAAAATCAAAAAGTATAATGATTATACAGTTTTTTTTTATTTTATTTTTTACGTGGGGAAATTCCTACGCATACCGCCTCGAGGCGGTAAGGACGAGTTATGTCAGACTCGCACCGACTAAAACTCCATAGTGCTCCACATTCGCCACATATTGTGTTGATTACACAGTCCTACTCCCTGCGGTATTGTGGCGAAAAGGATGGCTTGGTTTCCTCTTTTTTTTCTTTCATCATCATCATCATCATCATTATTACAGCCCTTCACAAGTCCACTGCTGAACATAGCGCTCCCCTCTCCCACCACCTGCATCCATCAACTTCCTGCATATCTTACCAGGTCGTCACTCCATCTAGTGGAGTGGGGGGGGGGGGACGATTGTTTATCTTTACTTTAAAAGGATTAGCCTTCTAATTTCCAACGAAGATGCTCAGTCGTAAAAGCTACTTTTTATCATAAAATATGTTTTTGTATCGATTGATCCAGTAATTTTATCACACTACTCACTTTCTACGGATGTTTTGTTTAGATTAACTGTATAGTCAATATTGGGTTAATATTAGTTGTCCGTCCGTGAAGTCAATATTGGGCTCTTTTTGAAAATCATACGATGTGGTACTATGTCAAATATTTTTTTCTTTCTTTCTTTCTAAATACTGGGCCTAAGGTCGCAGTATTCGGTAGGGTCTGTAGCACAGTATCGTGTTAAGCGTATATTCTCAAGTTAAGCCGCTTATATCCAACAAGCAGCACGGTTTTGTGAGAGGCAGATCAACAGTGACTAACTTGTTAGAGTACAAAAATTACTTATGTGAAGTTTTCGCCGTGGGTGGGCAGGTTGATGCCGTGTACACCGATTTTACGAAAGCTTTCGACAAAGTAAATCATTCTTTACTCTGTAAGAAATTAGCTATGTCAGGAATTCATCGAAATCTACTACGCTGGGTTCATTCGTACCTCGATAACAGAAGCCAACTTGTCGCTCTCAAAGGTTTCATGTCATCACCTGTCACAGTTAAATCTGGTGTTCCTCAGGGTTCACATCTCGGTCCGTTATTTTTTATAATTTTTATAAGCGATCTGATTTGCAAACTGTCCAGTCCTTGCCTTCTATATGCAGACGACTTGAAAATATACCGTGTGATACAGGACTTTTCTGACTGCGGTAAACTACAAGATGATATAGATTCAATATATGAATGGTGCCGGCTTAACGGTATGCACCTCAATGTTAAAAATGTTTTGTTATAACGTTCACTAATAAGAGATATAAACAGACTTATGACTATAAAATTAACGAAGATTTATTAGACAGGAAAACGGTAGTTAAAGACTTAGGTGTGCTATTTGACTCTAAATTAACATTTCGTGAGCACTATGCGTACATTAAAAACAAAGCATTCCAGTTACTAGGTTTTATAACGAGATGCACTAAGGGCTTCAAACGGCCTCAAAGCTTCCTGACCGTTTATTGTAGTCTTGTTCGTAGCATTCTTGAATATGCTTGTGTCATTTGGTCTCCCTGCTACACGGTCCATTCAGATAGTATAGAAAGCGTCCAAAAAAGAACTCTCAGAATACTTAGCTACAATTGTGGGTTTGCTCGTAATCTAGTTAGTTACAGTGAATTACTCGACAAATTTAAAGTGACCACCTTACTTATTCGCCGTAAGGAATATAACCTTATATATTTACATAAAATTCTCCATAATAAGATTGATTCCGATTACCTCTTAAGTAAATTAAACTTAACTACAAAGCGCAATCCCCGAATTCCTAACAAGACATTTTACCTGCAGACTTATAAGAATAATACTTCCTTTTATAACCCGATAGTAAGAATGTGTCGACTTTACAACGAGATATCCATGAAAAGCTCCGGCATGGATGTTTTTGACCCAAGATCCAGGACATTCAAAAGAGCAGTGAAACAGTATACTCTTATGCACACTCATTCCCATATCACATAGGTTTTAAGTTTCTTATTTGTATATTTTTATTTTTTGTTTACTGTAATTATGTATGTCATAAACATTGCAAAGCGTAGAGTTGATCTCCTGTATTTCATATAAAAATGATGTGTCAACATATTTAGGATGACAATCTGGCACAAAACTGTTATATTTATATTATATTGTAATGTATTTTGATTGTTATCTGTTTTGTTGTCCATATAATAAATAAATAAATAAATAAATAAATATATGAACGTGAGTTTGTCATAGAACGCATACGTTTTTTTGTAATAAGCATGATGTATCGTTATAGTTTTTTTTTTATTTAAGGAAAGAATACAATAAAAGCTGTAGTATTTATTATTTATATTTCCTTTGTGTACAAAGAAAAGATTAATATAAAAAAAATAAACAAATATTGACGGAAAAAGAAAAAGTGGTCCTATTGCTACATAGGTCGCAATCTCTTCTAGACAATCCAGAAAAGAATTAAATAAGAATAACAGAAAGATTAACAGGTAACGGTATTAAAAGATATCATCTTTTGCATTAAAAAGACGACATTCTTTAACTGGTAGATCCAGTTACCATAAATAAAAGGTGGAAGAGAGAGATAAGACAGACTATTCCTTAACCTGTTTCTTGAACAAATGTAAGGATTGAGAACTTTTAATCGACTGGGGTAAGGAGTTCCAAAGTCTTACTCCAAGATAAGAAAAAGATTTATCATAAAATGTAGAGGGGAGCACAGAAAATTGGAGGAAAAGATTTCCTTGGATCGCAAGGAAAAATCATGACACGTTCTTTTGGATAGGGAGGACTGGATATATTAAATGAGAATATTTATTTAAAAAGCCTTAATAATTATTATCTTACTTTCTTTTTAAATTATTGTATTATATTACAGAGCGTGTTTATCTTCAACTTGGTACAATGGACCCCTATCAAGTACATGAACTACGAGTACCCATGGTGGTCGCACGCCTTCGGATGGTTCACGGCGCTTTCTTCCATGTTGTGCATACCTGGTTACATGGTCTATCTGTGGTATGTTACACCTGGAACCAGAATGGAGGTGAGTTAAAAAGTTTTCAATGTTTTTTAAATTTTGTTACCTTTATCATTAGCATCTATAGCCCACTTCTGAAGAGGAGCAGTCCTATAGCAGTCTGGATATTAGATTTGGTCTATCTTCAGATTGATGCTACATCTACTACAGCCCATCATAACTTTACTGTGGAACATATGCCTCTCCCAAAGACTGTCTCGACTGTAAGCACAGCCTCAAACGAACGGTGTATTCATATTTATCGAATTGTCACTTTTGTCATTTTTGTTCACAATTGTTACGCCATGTAGTAAGGTAGTCCTTTATTATTTGTAATAGAGAACAGGTGGCACTTATGACTGATGTTGATCTGGGACTATTTCCTGGGACTGCTGTTTACTAACTGTCTCATGTTGTCCTGGTACTTATAGGTCTCATGTTTATGTGGGACTAATACAAAAAATAATGTGCCAGCTGCACTGCTTATCTGAATGTTGGGTTTGTGATTTTGTAGACGATAGACTAACCACCTATCACTTTTCTCAATTTTCCTTCTATACAATTTTTTCGGCTAAACGGGGTCCAATTGGCTGGCTGCTTTTTGGACTCCCCCTATTCCCTCGGAGATTGAGGGCGTGACTTATACACATATTGGTTATCAAAAAATCTAACGCTGAATTAGCTTAAAAACAATAAACTAATATATTTTTATTATTAGCAAAGCAAAAAAATTATTTTCGCAATATTATACAATTGTCCAATAATTTTTTTGCTTTATAATTTTTAATATTTTCTAATTATGAAATAACTTCCCTTTTGCTAAAAGGAAAACGTATATAATTTCGCAGTCTTATATTCCTATCATTGGATCTGGCTTGAAGGACCAGAATATCTAAAGACTGTAAAATTTTACATTAATATAAAACTTAGATATATGAAAAAGGCATAATATTGTACAAATATATATCAATAAATTAATTTTGTTTTAGAAATTCCATACAATCGTACGGATCCCAGAAGACGTGCCAACTCTTCGAACAAAAATGCAAGCCGAAGAACTTGCGAAGCACACGAAGGCCTAAGACCCCCTCGATCATTCTTTTAGATCTCAGATAATCTAGGTTAAAATAAACCTAGTTGTATTTTTATTGCTATAAATAACTGAGATTACAAAAGTGTTTTCAGGGGAACGGGTTATATTATTACGCACATATATGCTTATCGACATTTTCTCGTGCCAAATATATCATTTTTTATATGTTAGCAAATTATTTATCATATATAAATTTATATTTTGGATGTAATCATTATTTATTTCGTTTTGAGTTGTCTTATTAGTGGGACTATTTATTAGAAGAAATATTTATTAGGGGTACTATTGATTTAATAAGAGTACTATTTAGTGTTAACGTTTTAAAATGCATTTGTAGACTTCGTTTTTGGGTGCGTTGCGACGCGTTCATGTATGTTAGTATTCGTGCTATATTTATTAAATAAGATTATTAGCTAATGTAATTTATTAATTAAGGTTATATCAGTTAAATCTTAACAAAAGTTAACTATCTGTTATTGCCGTCTTCCATGTAGCAAATGCTTTATAAAATTTTACTTAGAGTGTAGTGCTATCATATTATTGGTATTTAAATACGGTGTTTAAAATTGTTGTAAGTAAAATATCTGGCCATGCTCAACTTTTCAAATAATCCCGTGTCAAAAAGTAAATAATTTTTTAAATTATTATATTCGAATTATTATAATCGAATTGCGAAATAATAATGAACTGTATGCAAATAAAAGACATAGCTTCTTGATCTCGATGTTTCTTTTCTCATTTGTAATAAAGTTTTTGACAATTTATTATTCAATTGAACATGTGGCCAGAATTATTTGTAATAATTATACTTACCAAAATATAGCAATTTAAGTATATAAGAATCCTAAAAGGATTTAGACTATAAGTTTTAATTCGACCTCTTGTTACGTCTTTAAAAAAGAACGTAAACTATTTATAAAAAGAACATAAAAACAATATATCTGCAAGGTAAAGTTGTAAGTTGTATGAAAAATACATTACACGTGTAGTTTGAAAAGAGGTCTTAGTTTTAAGTGTTAATGAAAAGCGCATCAGGACGCGTAATTTTTTCATACTCGTATATTATACATGGTGTTACATAACTTTTATTAAACTTATGCTAGTTATTTTAAAAACATTATTTAAACATTGGATAAAATTTAATACCTATTTAAAGTTTTATTATGCAATACAAATGTATTTTATGTTTGAATAATGTAACTAATTTTTATTCCTTTACAATAACTTTAGTCTTAACTATTATTTTGGTTAAGTAGCTTTAAATTATTGTGTTTGAGTTAAGTACAAGTATTTCATATAATTTACAGATAGTTATCGGAGTTAAGATATCTAAATAAAAATAATATTTATAGAAATCTACCTTCTGTGTTCCGAAAGAGACCAACATTTCTAACGCCTATTTTGGACTATAATCAAAAGCTTATACCTATTTACTGTAGCTATCATATCAAGAATTCCATTTCATGGTAAAAATTATATTCATCTATTGTTTTATCCACTAAAGTTATATACCAAACTTTATAGTAATTACTATTTATGATACTGTCAATTTCTACTAAAGTTTTTAGCATAGTGAAAATTTATATAACTTATTACACAAACTACATATGTAAAATATTATAAACTTCAGTAAGCTAAGTAAGATATAGAGTTATAGGTACTTTAAAAGTGTTAAGAAATTTCAATCATTATTCTTAAGTTAAATGAGGTGAAAATGTATTACTCAAAGTCTAGTATTTAATTAATACTGTGCGTTAGAGTGTGTATATGAATATAAATATAATTTATAATTGAATAAAGTCTATTATTGCTATTCCTGTAATAGAGCAATTATCATGAAACAGGAACTAAATTCAACAATGTCGAAATTCTTAACAATCCAAACTAAACATAACATATCATCAAATATGAAATAGTTAAACTATTATTTCTTGTAGATGTTAAAATTCATGGCTCCAATTTTGTTGTACTATCTAACATTATAAGAGGCTTAAATTTAATAAATATGTACGAAAATATAATATTTGCGTTTTTTTTTGTTATAATAGAATAAACCAAGCCATTTCATCTAGTCGGTATTGTAAGATACGACATTTCAGAAAGATCATCCAGAGGCTTTTAACCAACGGATTTTTATCTTTTTTTTTATTGGATAGGGTGACAAACGAGCACACAGTCCACCTGATGGTAAGTGCTTACTGTGACCCATAGACATCTACATCTATCCACAATCAAGACTCAAGATGCAGATGCGTTGTCACCCGTGGGGACTAAGATGAATGCCTCTTTACCAGTAAAAAGGGTCTCCGGTTCTCTACACTCACCATACGAAACACAGCAGCATTAAGCTGCTATTTTACGTTTATCTATTATATTTACACCAGATCTGATATAGATATGGGCCGAATATTTATTTCATATTCGGTATTAGGCATATTGGGCAGCTTTACCGAATAATCGTATTCGGCCGAATATTCTGCTATGTCCCCGAACATTCGTTAAAGCGGTACTCAGTGTCCACTGTATTGAAATGTACGAACACATTTGTCCATATGTCAAATGTAGCTGGTAAACATTTGGCTTAGATAGCTTATACATTTGTGGAATTACTTTTTCACCTATATATTTTCGGCTGGGTATTTGGTATTTGGGCTTCACCAACTGCATGAGCCAATTAAATCCTTTATATTCGACTATAGAAATTGGATAGTTATCTATTGCTATCGTTTCAGTGATTGAATTCGTAATTGGAAGTGATCTGGGGTCGTCGATTCGCGATTTGGAAATAAACGAATCTTCTAGTGTAGTTTGAGTGGTTCGACAGGTTTTAGTATTTGTAGATTGAGCACCTCTGGTAGAGGGTTGGGTGACTTGTGCAACTTCAGATTCATGCTGTGTCGTTTCAATATTTTTTATATTTGAGCCTACCTGATACACGGGTTTTTCCAGACCAGAAAATTCCGCAGTGTTTCAATTTTAAATGATTGCTCAAAGCCAAGGATGAAGCTTTCCTGCCGCTGCCTCCCCGTGAAAATATTTTTTCGTAAATCGTACATTTCGCTTTACTTTGGTCGTTGGTTTCTCTAAAATAAGTCCAAACTCCTGCCACTCATTTTTGTCATATAATTATCAATTTTCACTAAGAATAACACAGCGAAACACTTTTTTGAAAACAGTCAAAACATAAGCACGTTTTTTTTTTATTATAGGATAAGGGTGACAAACGACAACACAGTCCACTTGATGGTAAGTGGTTGCTGCGACCCATAGACAATCTACATTAATCCTCCATTCAACACAAATCCACAAATCAAAGCTGCCGCGTGGCTCTACCACTGTGAAAACGTGCCAGCAATTTGTTCAGTACTAGATGATGCATTAACATGTTAGCTGTGGCGGGGGAGCGAGGGACAGGGTTCGGCGCTAATCCTGCGCGCTTTAAGTAAACAACTTTCGATATAGCTTAAGAGCCAGTGAGCGGCAGACTTACGGTATTTCAATAAGCTTCACTTTTTTTCAGTTAGTTCCCTATACCTGAGGTATATGAAACGGGGACTCTTTAGTTTGACCGGGGGTCGATATAGAGACGCTCAGGTGTTAAATGTGTGAAAAAACGTGATAACATTAAGTCTCCCGCTTTGACATCTTGAAATATTTAATAAAAGTTACTGAAAAATAACATTGACAGACACCTATGACGGTTTCAAGGTCATGGAAGACAGGTTGAAAAGTGCAATTTTTTATTAATATTTTACGTTATTTCAATAAAGCTGCAATTTATATAATATATTGTTGATAATGTTGAAGATGCTCAGTCGTAAAAGCTACTTTTTATCATAAAATATGTTTTTGTATCGATTGATCCAGTAATTTTATCACACTACTCACTTTCTACGGATGTTTTGTTTAGATTAACTGTATAGTCAATATTGGGTTAATATTAGTTGTCCGTCCGTTAAGTCAATATTGGGCTCTTTTTGAAAATCATACGATGTGGTACTATGTCAAATATTTTTCCTTTCTTTCTTTCTAAATACTAAGGTCGCAGCATTCGGCAGGGTCTGTGGCACAGTATCGTGTTAAGCGTATATTATAGGCGGTCGCCATTGCAATATATGAACGTGAGTTTGTCATAGAACGCATACGTTTTTTTGTAATAAGCATGATGTATCGTTATAGTTTTTTTTTTAATTTAATGAAAGAATACAATAAAAGCTGTAGTATTTATTATTAATATTTCCTTTGTATACAAAGAAAAGATTAATATAAAAAAAAATAAACAAATATTGACGGAAAAAGAAAAAGTGGTCCTATTGCTACATAGGTCGCAATCTCTTCTAGACAATCCAGAAAAAGAATTAAATAAGAATAACAGAAATATTAACAGGTAACGGCATTGAAAGATACCATCTTTTGCATTAAAAAGACGACATTCTTTAACTGGTAGATCCAGTTACCATAAATAAAAGGTGGAAGAGAGAGATAAGACAGACTATTCCTTAACCTGTTTCTTGAACAAATGTAAGGATTGAGAACTTTTAATCGACTGGGGCGAGGAGTTCCAAAGTCTTACTCCAAGATAAGAAAAAGATTTATCATAAAATGTAGAGGAGAGCACAGAAAATTGGAGGAAAAGATTACCTTGGACCGCAAGGAAAAATCATGACACGTTCTTTTGGATAGGGAGGACTGGATATATTAAATGAGAATATTTATTTAAAAAGTCTTAATATTTATTATCTTACTTTCTTTTTAAATTATTGTATTATATTACAGAGCGTGTTTATCTTCAACTTGGTACAATGGACCCCTATCAAGTACATGAACTACGAGTACCCATGGTGGTCGCACGCCTTCGGATGGTTCACGGCGCTTTCTTCCATGTTGTGCATACCTGGTTACATGGTCTATCTGTGGTATGTTACACCTGGAACCAGAATGGAGGTGAGTTAAAAAGTTTTCAATGTTTTTTTAAATTTTGTTACCTTT